CCCGAGGAGTTCCAGCATTTCACCCGCCTCGTGTCATCGGCCTCCAGAAAGGAATTTCTTGTTTTCATTAAATCCCGAGTCTCTGACAGGCTGGAAATGGTCATCCGCGTCCCTCCACGTGACAGCTACAAGATCCTTCTCAGTGCCTGTCAGAGACTTTGTCTTCGTGTACGTTCCCTGCAATTACTGACAGCCATGAGAGCCCACCGAGCCCTACGTGTCACCGAGCCCTACGTGTCACCGAGCCCTACGTGTCACCGAGCCCTACGTGTCACCGAGCCCTACGTGTCACCGAGCCGGCGGTCCTACAGAGAAGACGAGTCACTCAGCAGATCTTTTCTACTGACACCAGAGACGCGAGTGTCCCAGGGGAGCCAAACATTCACCAGGAGACCACAAACCGCATCGTTCTGCCATTCAACACTGCAAATCCGAAGATCCAAATTCATAAACTGACTCCATGGATGTTATTTCAGTTGTTTGTCCTGTATACACACAGGAGTTCTAGATCAGCCCCAGCGTTGGTACTCTCATAGATTAGAGTAGGGCCACACTGTACAGAACAGCCATTTGCTTCTCATAATGTGTTACTTTCAAGTGTTATTGGTTTTTTTTTGATAGCTAGCAAAAGAATCCATGACTGCACTTCCTGTCTATTCCATGACTGCACTTCCTGTCTATTCCATGACCGCACTTCCTGTCTATTCCATGACCGCACTTCCTGTCTATTCCATGACCGCACTTCCTGTCTATTCCATGACCGCACTTCCTGCCTATTCCATGACCGCACTTCCTGTCTATTCCATGACCGCACTTCCTGTCTATTCCATGACCGCACTTCCTGTCTAATTAGTGGTCACATTCCTGGCTTCTATGACATAACTTCCCAGCCACTCATCGGACGCACTTCCCAGCCACTCATCGGACACACTTCCCGGCTACTCATCCAACGCACTTCCCGGCTACTCGTTGGACACACTTCCCAGCTACTCATCAGACGCACTTCCCAGCCACTCATCGGACACACTTCCCGGCTACTCATCCAACGCACTTCCCGGCTACTCGTTGGACACACTTCCCAGCTACTCATCGGACGCACTTCCCAGCCACTCATCGGACGCACTTCCCAGCCACTCATCGGACGCACTTCCCAGCTACTCATCGGACACACTTCCCGGCTACTCATCGGACGCACTTCCCGGCTACTCATTGGACGCACTTCCCAGCCACTCATCGGACGCACTTCTGTCAGTCACATAAAATGAAAAAATAAACTCAAACAAAAGTTCTCTCCTCTCACTACTCACCACATAATGGATGTGGCAACCCCTGCAGCATGGATGGCCACACCGATCACATAGCCAATGTCCGGCCGGGCAGTCACCGGTTGGGGGTGTGGTCAGTGGTGATACTTCACTGATATGCGGCGCTCTCTTTTTTTTTGCAAATCAGAAAGTTTTGTGTGGCTGATCTGTCACTGCTGGATCTGTGCCGCCTTCCTCTATACATATGCTGCTTTGCAGTCTGAGGAATGTGGTGACTTCATCTACAGTCAGGCAGATGTCTGCTAATTACATTAAATCTCTTAATATAAAAAAGAAAAAGCATATGATCCTATGGGGACTTTCACACTTAAACCTCGTCTCTGCCAGCATTAGGAGCCGTGTATGAAGGCTCACCATCTGCACAGTCACATTGAACAACACCCCGTTCATTATACTGACAGCTTCTCAACATCAATTCCTCACTTCAGAGACTCTTCCCACCTGCACGCGGATATAGCAGAAGTCGCTGTTATGCCGGATGAGCTTTGCCATCTTCCCACCATAAGAGACAGGGGTGTATCTACTGCAAGGCAAACTAGGCATTTGCCTAGGGCGGCACTTTCAAGGGGGGCGGCAAAAAATGCCAGTTACCAGTTAGGTAAGAGAAAATAAATAAATTATTCATAAATGACTCAATACTCCTGGACCTGTTGCTTCTGTGACTGGAGGACCAATGTGTCCACCTATGCTGCCCAGCCCTAATAAGAGGGCCACCACCAACCCTTGTGGAGGGCAGAAGGCTGATTGACTTCCATGGAACGTTATCTTCACCAGACTCTACTGTACAAAGGCCTTCCAGGCGACAACCTTCGAAAACTGGTGCGTCTTGTCAGCAGCACCCCTTCATTGCCCAGAACCCCCATTGTATGTACATAGTTACACGGCTGACAAGATACAATAGAAATGTATATAAAACAGTGCCGCAGTCACATCCATAAGGTGATGCGGCATTTCCATGGTCCAAGTGTGAATACCTCCAATGAATGCGGGGCCATCAGTCCACCGAGGTGTGCCGGGCTGACCAGCACCAAGTGGGCCATACGCTGTCAGGTCATTTATGGGGAATGTTCAAGGCTCAGATTTGGCCTCGCCCGCATAAGAAGACAGTTGAGGAGAAGTCAAACACGGGAGCGGCTCCTCCAATTCTGACATCTACTGAACTTCATAAGCAAAATTGGTTTGAGGTGCACAGATCACCAAATCTCTGGGAGCCAACCCCTAATTAATTTGGTAATGATATAGCAAAGAAGGAAAAATAAGGGTTTGTGTTGGCCAGCAGAGTGACAAATCCAGTAAACATCACATCAAAAGATGATTATATATCAAATTAAAAAAATTATTGGTGCGTCAAGACAATTTGTTAAAAAGAACATTTAAACAATGTATTTGTAGTAAAAGAATTCGCCCCAATAGGGGAACCTCCTAATGACCCCCTTGGAGTCCCACAGATAGGGTTCAAGTCCAGAAAGGCAAAATGTGAAAATATGAGATGTAATACTTAGGTTCTTAGGTACTGAGCTTCATGGTGAGGAGAAGACAATAGTTCTGACGCACTGCCCTGCCCCTCACCCATCAATACCCACCACAGCCAGGCACACGTTTTAGGAGATGTTATACGTCTGGAATGATTTTGGAATTGAGGCTACGGGACCACATTTTGGTTTTTACTCATCAACTTCTCTCCTCTCGCAGGTGGTAGAAGGAAAAGCCCACGTGAGGTAAATACACACAAAACACAGAGCGCTTCCTTAATGTGAACCTGTAGATGTGTGTAGCCCTATTGTGGTGTCAGGTCGGCTCCTTCGGGGGTGAGCGTTACATGTGTAATAGACTTTCAGGTATTTACATATTCTTAACGGGCGGTACATGAGCTTTAACACCCTCGCTGACCTCTGTATCTACAGGTACAATCACTGCTGGGATGGGGAGCAGGATGAGCTGAGCTCTTGGGTTTTTGCTGGGGGGGTGGGGGGGGGGGCCTGAGCTGCTGATTTACTGTTGGGTGCGGGGACCAGGGGGAGCTGACCTGCTGGGTCACTGCAGTGAGGGGGAGAGCAGGGTGAGCTAAGCTGCTCAATTATTGCTGGGCCTAGGAAACAGGTGGATCTTACCTGTTGAGTCACTGTTGGGTGGGGGAAGCAGAGGGGTCTGAACTGTTGGGTGAGGTGATACATGTACCCAAACTGCTGGGAGCAGGTGAGGGGGGCTGAGCTGTTGAGTCACTGCTGGGTGGGGGAAGTAGGGGGATATGATCTGCTTGGATGAGGAACAGAGCTGAGCTGCCAAGAGAATGACTGAAATGACCTCAGTGCTTCTGCCGAACGTTGAGGATGAGTTACTCCACAATGCAGGCAGCTACAGAGGTCAGCGAGGGCTTGTTTTATAGCTGTCTGTTGAGCATTTGTAAACCGTTGAAAGTCTATAGCCTGGTCACGGGTTCTCTTCCAGATACTAATTATTGCCTATCTTATGTCAATCTTCAGAGTGTCACCCTGAAACCTGAAAGAAAATTACACTTCAGTCACCTCCTGCACCCTTACAACATCCCATTTGCAAATTACAGACCAGCTGCCAATTCTTCACCCAGTAATGCCCAGAAACAAACAACTTCTGCCAACGAATGACGGTGGTCCATCTGTATCGCATTAGTCCTCCATTACAGAGTGTGGTGGAGCACACTTGGCGCGCTGAACCTCGACTTACTACCATTATTAGCATAAAAAGAAGTTTTATTTCTCCTGGACGCCCCTTCCTGCTCCCCCCCCCCATCACTCCCGGGCATCTGTGTACAACTTTCTATTCTCTGTGACATGAAAACGGCCCCAGTAGTGATATAATATTACATGTACATAACAATTCAACAGAAAGTCGAGTCCGTCATCAGAAAGGCCTCGTCCTATCATTAGAGCGATAGGTTTGGATGATTTTTATGGAATCCCAGAGATGGCAAGGACCCCCCCCTTAAAACTCCAATAATGTTAATCTCAGCTTAAAGGAGAACTATGAGATAAGTGATTTCCACTCACCTCATAGTTGGAGCCGACGTGTGACAATGAGACTGTCACAGGTCGGCTCAGTAGATCGGGAGGTGAGCGAATGCATACCAGGTTCGCTCACCTCTCGATCCTGTCACGGCTCTCTGCTGTGACAGGGGAGGGGCTGGATTCCCCTCTCCCCGCTCCGATCTGCCAGCGCTGACTGGTGGAACGGACGGGGGAGGGGCCGGGTACAACTGGCTCTGCCTCTAGATAGGCAGAGCCAGCTGTCAGTCACGCAGCTGGGCGGATCTCGACGTCAATGTCGGGATCCGCTCCGGCTGCGGCGTCTCAGTATACCGCGAGCTGTAGCTCCCTATATACTGAGCCTAGGGTGACGGGAGGACGCTAGTTTGTGTCCCCCCGACCCTGAGGAGAACTATGGGGAAAAGCCCTGACCCCGTACTTCTCCTTTAATACACAAAGGTGGAGCACGGAGCTTATCTAACAGTGGTGACCACAAATGGTGCTGCTTGAAGGACTCTAGAACAGCGGTTCTCAACCTGTGTAACCTCGGGACCCACATTTGTCCTTGGTCATTAAGTTGCGACCCAAGTCTGCAATGTCTGCACTGCAATGGAACACACGGCATTAGGGTACTGCGCGTTCCGGTGCGGGCGTACGAACTGTGGGTGGGAAGTGTGTTTGGGGTACTATTTAAATGAACGGCCTGGGCAGTATATTTTGAATGGCTGCTTGGCACAAGAACTGACAGTGCTGCGCTAGGGTAAGGCAGAGGAGGAAAGTGGAAGGCATGCGGAGGACGCACTGAACATGGGGTCGCGACCCACCAGTTGAGACCCAAGGCTCTAGAAGATCCGTCATCAGTCACTAATAGAGATACAATCTGGACTCCATACACAAAGATCCTCCATACTTTACTGGTCACATTGATCTGAAGAAGAACTTCCCTTCCCGGGGCAAATTCCAGCCAAAATATAGAATAATATGTATATTAGGAAAGAATTTACCCCCACATGTCATATACAGCGTATCCTGATCTATATATATATACCTTACACATTATAATGAGAGTATACAGGTGAAACTCGAATAATTAGAATATCGTGCAAAAGTAATGGCAGTAATTGCTGCAAAAGGGGCCCAAACCAAGTACTGAGTACATAGGCATGCTTGTACTTTTCAGAGGTCCGATATTGTTCTATGTACAATCCGTGTTTTATTGATTGCATGTAATAATCTACTTTTTTGAGGTTGTGGATTTGGGGTTCTTGGGGTTTTCATGAGCTGTAAGCCATAATCATCACAATGAGGACAAATCACGGCTTGAACTATCTTGCTTTGCAAGACTCTCTCATATATTAGTTTCACCTTTTAAGTTGCATTAGTGAAATAAATGAACTTTGCACGATATTCTAATTATTCGAGTTTCACCTGTATAGCAGTATATGAACCCTCCTATTAACATACAATCAGTTCATAATGCAGCCTGAAATCTATTGCATGACATCCCTGCACAGTCCTGACGTGTCCATCGTATGATTCTATGTCCAGAACACGGATCTAGTCATATAAAAGAGTTTACATAGTAGCTGACTATTGGCTGTTATTGACTAAATGTAACCAGCGAATTCATTCTATTACAGATGAGACACGAGCGGAAAGCCAACACATGCCAGCCCTTCGCTTCCCACTGAGAAAAAGTGACCAACCATTGCACACAATGCATATCCACCATCTACAGATCAGTTGTATTGACTCTGGACACTGGACCTTATCTGGACCCCTCACCTCCACCATTCATTATACAAACTCATAATGGCCGTCAGGTTGATAAACAGAAACCTCCTCAGGGGAGGAGGAGATGAGGGAACAGAGGAGATGGGGCAGAAGGGGAGATGAGGGGGCAACACAAGCGGAAATCAGAGGACAGCAGAGAAGGAGATATAGGAGTGGTGGAGGAGATGAGGCAATAGTGGAGAAGGAGATGAGAAGACATTGGAGGGGGAGATTAAAAGGTACACAGGAGGAGGAGAGGGGACAGCAAAGATGGAGCAATGAGGACCCAAAATATGAGCAGTTAAGGAGACGGTGGAGAAAAGGATGAGAGGACAGAGGAGGATGAGATAAGGGGGTAATGGTGGAGAAGAGGAGCAATAGATGACAGGACAGAGAAGAAAGAAATGAGGGGGCAACAAAGGGAGATAAAGGGGCAATAGGGGAACAGATGAGGAACAGTGGAGAAATGTGAGGGGCATAGAAGGAGGATGGGAAGTGACAACAGAGAAGGAGTTGAGGGAAATAGAGGAGACGAGGGGACAGCAGAGGAGACGAGGGGCAGCAGAGGAGACAAGGGGACAGCAGAGGAGACGAGGGGACAGCAGAGGAGACGAGGGGCAGCAGAGGAGACAAGGGGACAGCAGAGGAGACGAGGGGACAGCAGAGGAGACGAGGGGACAGCAGAGGAGACGAGGGGGCAGCAGAGGAGACAAGGGGACAGCAGAGGAGACGAGGGGACAGCAGAGGAGACGAGGGGACAGCAGAGGAGACGAGGGGACAGCAGAGGAGACAAGGGGACAGCAGAGGAGACGAGGGGATGGCAGAGGAGACAAGGGGACAGCAGAGGAGACGAGGGGACGGCAGAGGAGACGAGGGGACGGCAGAAGTGACTAGGGGCCACAGAGGAGAATATGAGGTGGTGGAAGAGGAGGCAATGAGAAGGCAGTGAAGGATAAGGGGGAAACAGATGAAGGGATGAGGATACAGTGGAGAAGGAGAGGTGAGAGGTCGGCTGAGAGGGAGATGAGGGAACAGCAGACACGTAGATGACAAGCAGCAAAGAATATGAGCAACAGTGCAGGAGAAAATGAACAGAGGCAACAGAGGAGGAGATGAGGAGACAAATGAGGGGAGTTTGTGGAACAGTTGACGAGACAGCAGAGAAGATGGGGCACAAAGCAAGGGAGTAAAAGGGGTGGGGGGTAGTGAAGAAGCAGAGGGGACATTTAGGATGAAAGGCGCAAACACTGATCAGAGACAGGACGGAGGATAGGGAACATAGAAGGTGCAGTAAGGTAGTAATATTGGGATATGGTACACACCAATGAATCCAATAAAGAAGAGATGGACACAGATGGCATTTACAGAGGAACAGGTGACCCGTAAGTTACAGAGACAATCTATCGCAGATGGGTGGGTAGCTGTGCCAGGGAGTAAGACAAAATCTGATTTTACTGCAGCAGAGCAGTGCAAGGGTGAATCAGAACTGAGGGGCGTACAAACCGCAGAGCAAAGGTTAAAATATGGGGCAATATGAGGATTGATCAAGATTAATAAGGACCAATAGATGTGCCAAGAGTAAATACAGGGATTAATGAGGAGTACAAGGGGGGCAGTGTTAGGGTTAATAAGACCAATAGATGAGCCAGGCACAGTGCAAGCGTTAATAAGAACTATAAGAAGGGGCAGTGTAAGGGTTAATAAGCACCAGTAGATGAAGCAGAGGGGACAGTGCAAGAGTGAGTGAGGATCTATGGATGGGGGTGGTCGGGGCCATCTAAATAAACTTAAAGCGCAGCGCAAGGGATAAAAGAGACCCGGTAAAGGTGCCAAAGGGAGGCTCAAGGGTTATTAAGGATCGCTAAATGCACAGTGGGACAATTCAAAGGTTAATGAAGACCAAAACATGTGTCGTGAGGTAGTGCAAGGGTCAGAAAGCCAAGAGACAATGAAAGTGTTAATGTTATGGACAGCACTGAAGTGGTAAGAGAAGCTTCAAAGGGGCAGATGCATGGGGCAATTTTTAGCAGGGAGATAGAATACAAGGGTGCAGGTGGGAGCAGAGAGGTAGAGGAGTCAGCGTGATGCACAGAATTTTACATGTAGAGAGGAGAGATGAAGACGGGCTTATGATGGCCAGGTGAGGAGGATGGAAGGATGATGGACAGGTGAAAACAGAAGAAGAGAAGGGATGGAGGGGGGTGTTTCTCAGGCGAAGAGAATAGAGGGATGATGGACAGGTGAGGAAGATGGAGGGATGATGTACAGGTGAGAAGAATGGAGGAATGATGGGCAGGTGAGGAGGATGGAGGCATGATGGAGAGGTGAAAAGAATAGATGAGTGAGGAGATGGGGATGAAGTGATATGTTTCTCAGGTGAGGATGTTGGCAAGTGAGAAAAATGGAGGGATGATGACCAGGTGAGGAGGAAGGAGGGATAATGGACAGGTGAAGAGGATGGAATGATGATGGAGAGGTGAGGAGGATGGAGGGTTGATGGAGAGGTGAGAAGGATGGAGGGATGAAGGAGAGGTGAGGAGGATGGAGGGATGATGGACAGGTGAGGATGGAGGGATGATGGACAGGTGAGGAGGATGGAGGGATGATAGACAGGTGAGGAGGATGGAGGGATGATGGACAGGTGAGAATGGAGGGATGATGGACAGGTGAGGAGGATGGAGGGATGATGGACAGGTGAGGAGGATGGAGGGATGATGGACAGGTGAGGAGGATGGAGGGATGATGGAGAGGTGAGGAGGATGGAAGGTTGATGGAGAGGTGAGAAGGATGGAGGGATGATGGAGAGGTGAGGAGGATGGAAGGTTGATGGAGAGGTGAGAAGGATGGAGGGATGAAGGAGAGGTGAGGAGGATGGAGGGATGATGGACAGGTGAGGATGGAGGGATGATGGACAGGTGAGGAGGATGGAGGGATGATGGACAGGTGAGGAGGATGGAGGGATGATGGACAGGTGAGGAGGATGGAGGGATGATGGAGAGGTGAGGAGGATGGAAGGACGTAGATCGTCCCGGAAGCAGCTGATGGCAGCCTGGAGGGTTTGTTACCTGGTACGGAGAGCAGTACGGTCAGGGCCGGTCCGGTCAGCCAGCACAGGAGGGTTCGGTAGAGGTGAGCGGGGACCCCCCGCATGGTGACAGCGGCAGTGGGGGCAGATGATGATGATGGTGGTGGTTGGTGGCAGCTCCGGGCTGTGTGACACCCGCAACATTCACTGACACACACACAGCTCACCCTCCTCCCTCCAACCCCCCCTAGTTACCTACCCCGCACTCTGCTATTGGCTGTACACAGATAGGGGGACACCCTCATGTATACACTGCCTGACACCCTCTGAATACATCGACATATATATACTGCGTGACTTCTCTTTTACATAACAAATCCGCATACATACCGAATCCACTATACCCTGCCTGACATCCATTCTATATACCGAATCCACTATATATACCCTGCCCGACATCCCTTCTATATACCGAATCCACTATACCCTGCCTGACATCCATTCTATATACCGAATCCACTATATATACCCTGCCCGACATCCCTTCTATATACCGAATCCACTATATATACCCTGCCTGACATCCATTCTATATACCGAATCCACTATATATACCCTGCCCGACATCCCTTCTATATACCGAATCCACTATATATACCCTGCCTGACATCCATTCTATATACCGAATCCACTATATATACCCTGCCCGACATCCCTTCTGTATACCGAATCCACTATATATACCCTGCCCGACATCCCTTCTATATACCGAATCCACTATATATACCCTGCCCGACATCCCTTCTATATACCGAATCCACTATATATGCCCTGCCCGACATCCCTTCTATATAACGAATTTATATATATATGTAAAT